ACACGACAAGAACCGTTTTAAGATTTTTACCTCTTTAAATAAGAATTTAATCCAGCCAGAAAACTGATACAATCAATTGTGGGTAGAGGATAAATGACGGTCAGATGGTCAAAGACAAATCTTTTTTTTAAATAATACATCTTTTACGCATCATAAACACGTTTTATTTATTTATGTACAGGCAGTGCTTTAAAGAACAATCAGCATTTTATATGTCAACTAAGACAAAGAGACAGAGAAATATCTCTTCTCATTCATGTATACCAATACAAATGTAGATAAGAAAATCTGTTAAAAAATATTTCCTAAAGTATTTACAAATGTACAACAAAAAATATGATCTATTGTCTTATTGTCAATTTTTTTCCCCCTCCATGGTTCCTACCACGGTCTCCACACAGAGTCTGAGGTGACAGCAGGTGCGACAGGTGACACATGATGGCTGTTTTGTACACTCAGAGGTGAGAGAGCTGCACCGGGAATAAGAAAGGCAAAGTGTCCGTCTGGAGATGCCACCACCTGGAAGCCTCCATACAGTTTCATGGCTTCGGGGGATAGTGAGCCGCCCTTGAGGGGCGCCCGCAGGCCCAGAGGCGCAGTGATCTGCGGACTGCTGGTTTGTCCCAGGTCGCCCAGGTGAGGTCCATACAGACTGATCTGGGTCACACAGGCCGCGAGGTGGCCGAGGAGGCGAGTCCTCACCTCGGCCGTGACCCCTTCACATGTGGACAGGAAACGGGTAACCTCTCCGACGCACTCGCTGAATCCAGCTCGGTACTTCCCCAGGATGGATGGGTCTGTGTTTAAAGCCGCTAGAGAAGAAGAAGAAAAATGTTAAGAAATGGAAAGAAGGGCAAACAACCTAACATTTATAACACTCAAAACTAGGCAAAAACGATTAAAATCGGAGAGTCCTGCTTGGTTTTCATCTGATAGAGTTATAGGTCGGTTAAGCACACTTAAAAATATTGTGGAGACTTTTAAATATTAGACATTTCTTTATCTTTATTTTCATCAAGTCACTTGTAAATGTAATGTTTAACGATGCTGGTTTGGTCAGCAGTTATTCATCGTGTGACGTGTCCAACATTAAGGCTGATATACTTTTATGCGTCATGCTGTGAATGAATATAACAACTTTGTAAACATTTAGGAGTCATAAAACTTGTGGCTAAGAAAGCTCAGGTTTTGGAGCAGTTTTAGTTTGTGTCTAACTTAGAGATGGTATTCATAATGAAGTCAAACTTAGGATGCTGAGGTTGATAACACTGAAAAAATATTGCATTCATGCACAAATGATTGCAGCTGTAAAACTTTCATTTTAATTTCAATAATTGAGCGTATTCATCTTCACGAGCCTTAACGATTAGATGCATGATATGATTCTGGCTACAGAAATCTTAAACGTGCCGTTATCCGGTTGCTTGCCCAGACATTTTGAACTACTATTAGATTTTTTTAAAAATTACAAACCGTCACATATTGAAAATATCTACAATTGAAGTCGTTCTAAAACAAAAATAAAAAATAGTCCCAACCTTATGTACAGGAATAACCGAACTACTCATTTACAGTCATACTCAATAAACTAGAAAATTGCTAGAAATTTTATTTCACCTCCATTCACTTGGTGAAATGTGCTGTATCGATTAACTACACTCATTATGCTTTAAAAGCTTTATTTTTACTAATTATAATTTTCTTCTTGCAGTAAACTGGGCCAACATTTTTAAACGCGAAAAGGGGTCCATATGAAAAGTATGTTTAATACCTGTTAAAAGGTTATTTTCAAAAGATATGTTTAATCTGATGATACTCATGGAAGGCATATTCAAATTGATTGAATAAAATGTCTGAATTAATTAGACATAAAACCAAGTCGAATTAATTGCCTAATTCGTTTATTTTGTAGTTGTTGAACTTGTACAACCTCTATAACAAAGGCTGTATTAAGAATATCCAAATAAAAAATAGGTATGTAAATTGTTGCATCAGTTTAATTGGTAAAACTGTAACCTTTTTCCTGTTAGTGTGTTTTTCTTAACTTTGTAATTAATGTCTCTTCTAGGCAACATTTTCACAGTCAAAAAGTGCACATACTGCAGGCAGCAGAAATGAATTATTAATCCCAACCTAAACCCGGAGTGAGGAGCTGACGTACCTGTCATCTGAAGCCGCTGCAGGTTCCTCAGGTGTTTCACCGTCATCTCCAGGATGTCGGCCTTCTCCAGCTTGGAGTGCCTGGAGCTCTTCAGGCAAAAACAGAGCAGCTATGTTTAAAGCTCTCATTACTTTGGGAGAAGCCATTGACCGTGGCTCGCTCGGACTCTTACGTCTTTCTTAAGCGCGTCCAGGATGAGGGTCTTCAGCTGACCCAGGCTCTCATTGATGCGCGCGCGTCGCCGCTTCTCCATAATTGGCTTGGAGGACTTCCACGAGCGGGTAGAAATGCAGTTAGTGTTGTTGTTAGGGTGTAAAGGTATTACATGTGCAACTAGAACGGTTGCGTTCAGAAAGCCTACCTTTCTGTTCTCTGACAGAGTGCGGGGTTTCCCGGGGGTACAGTCGCCTTTTGCCGGGACAGCCGCGCCGCCAGACGGAGATGCTCTTTCGAAAGTACCGGCTGGCATCTTCAGGCTCGCACGAGAGCGAAAAAACAACCTTAAAGTAAACGGCCGACACTCCCGCCGTCTCCTGGCAGCTCTCAAGGTAGCTGGCCGACTATAACAAGTGACCGCAGTCCAAACTGTCTCCGAGCCAAACTGCTGCAGTCCAGACACGAGAGCTTCTGCTCGGTATTTATACAATCACAGCCTGCACGCGAGCGGCTCGTGTGACGCGTCGGGGTTCCCTCCGCTTGTCCAATAAGCGCGCGGGATGCGGTGCCGAGCTGGCGAGGGCTCGTTAATGATAAATATACATAAACTTGCAAAGTCACAGTTGGAAGCATAAAAAATTGCAAATGAGCCAACCAGCCTTGTGAAAAGTGAAAGAGAAAAAAAATCCTGAAGTTAATGTGCTACTTTTCATGTGTTTCAGATCGTGGTTACATCATTATAAATAACTCGCATTTCTCCAAATACTATAATGATATTAGGGAGAGAACAATGTATTATGACTACATCAATCCACAAAGGTCAATTATAATATTTCATAATTTTATGTCAAAAACTATCTAGTCATAGTTGCACGTAATTTTGAAGTCAACTATGGTTTTGCAAATTAAAAACATGCCACCAAAAACAAATCTGAAAAGTGTGTCACAGCTTGGTATTCAACTTTGAGTGAAGCGTTTATGGTGAAAAAAAAAGGCTGGGTGGCAGTAATGTGCCTCTGCATTTCCAATATAAGGGTTCTAATGAACAATTTCCACAATTGCACAAAAATTTGACATTCTTCATTCAGAAACACACATGGAGGGTTAAATTAGCTAAAAGTAAAAGGTATGTCCAGTAGATGGAGAGTATTTAATCACTAAATCAGTGTCAAAATCAAACTCTGAAGCAGACTCAAAATTCTGAAAAATACCAAAATCTATGACTGCTGAGAAGATTAACTCTGAACCAATTCTATTAAGACTGAGGAGAATCAATTAATGACTCCAGACAGCAGAGGTCTTCCTACCCCCAAAAAATAAAACACACTGGTATAGGGTAAAAACAAGTACAGCTATAATATATAAATATAATATTAACCCAGAAATCATAAAAACCTAACCAGGTGCTGCTGGAACACAACAAAAAGCAAAGCCCATGCATTTTTCTAATACTCAGGATCTCTGCAAAGCAGGGCTGGATGTAGAAAGATGTGGGTCCATGAGCAGGAGCTGGTTTTGGTGTCCCGGCTACTGAGGAAAATGTATTTAACTAATGCAAATTACAGTATATCAATATGTAATCTTGTATGTCAGTAGTATGAATTGATGCATGGTATAGGTACAATATGTCCCCTAGCCAATAACATCATATTGTTTCCAAATAAATTTTCCAGTATTTAATATTTTTTATACTTATAAAAATCCCCAAATATGAATACAATTCACCTAATTTGGGTATGTGGGGTTATATAAAGATCCTTCAAGGGACCAACAGAGTAAATTAGCCATGACTAGAAATGCTGTATGAAATTATACTGGCCCCCATCAAATATCCAGGTTAGAAATATACCACAAATCTATGATATAAACAGAAACATTCTGTAAGAAATAAAGAAAATACACCCAAACTATTGGGACTTCCTCTGAGTTATTATTGCGGGGAAATGAGAGATCATGTGCAGTTCCGCCTCAACCAAATACAACCAGACATAAAGATGCAGTGAATCGATCCACTTTCAATCATTTCTTTGCACCAAAGAGTTAAAAATGAACACGTTTCCACTGAGGCTCTTTGGATGTGTATGTATTTGAAATCTTAAATCGACATTCGTGACTGTGTACAAAACAGAGCAGCAAACATCGCAGTAACTATACTGTGAGGGAATGCAAAGCTAAAATCCCCCCATATCCCCTGGATGGAGGGCTTCCCACTTTCTAAAGTTGGATCCAGCATCAAACATCACAAATATGGACGTTCAAAGATCGGAAAAACAGAACTTTAGCTCCTCCTACCACAACATTACATCAGAGCGGCCATCTTCCATCCAGCACACAAATCAATCAATGTTAACATTAGAACAGCAGCAGGAACCCAAAGGAGTCATTATTATTATTATTATTATTATTATTATTATTATTATTATTATTATTATTATTATTATTATTGAGAATTTCTAAAAACAAAACAAAAGACAAGGAAAAAAAAAAAAGAAATCTTATCAACATTTACCCAGAGCTGTATTAGTTAGCATTGTAACTGCAATAAAAGCATCATATAAACCACGGCAACGTTCATAACTGATTACCGACTAACAGATGACAGCAGCTGACCAAAAATAAAAGAGCAGAGCAATATGGCGGCTAAAACTTATAAAGCACTATGAGCAACAGAAGCTGTGCTTACTGGCCATTGGGAACAATCCTCTGTACGGTCATTGAAGGTGGAGGATTCTGTCGGAGCTTCCCTCCTCGACTGCCATCTTCGCCATGACGAACTGTATCACCATAGCAACCCTAAAACGTTCCGGCATCTTCTAAGCAGGTTGATGTTCCCCGCTTAGTCAATTCAGCCATGCTGATTGGTCAAATGCTTATCATTGTCACCCAGCAAACACACGTGATTGGCTAGTTAGCCAATCAATTTCCGGAACCGACAGGAGTTTTTTCAGGGGAAGTAAAAGCACTGTTAGTGAGAGGCGCGAATAATTCAGACTACATTCAGGCACATGCTATTAAGGAAGATACGCTAAATAATTTTTTAAATGAAGTTTCCATGTCATTTTTAGATTCCCCTCCCCTCTCCTCGTACTAGTTAGGGATACGGGGGCCCAGGGCCCCCAGGGACCACAACACTGATCTCCAAACCAAAATGTTTTACTGAGCTTTTGTTTCACCTTGCCTTAAACTTACAAAAAAGATATAATACACACAAATTTACTGATTAGGTGACTTCTCAATGTAATTGATTGCAGAGAACTTAATTTAGGGGCATGGTCTCAATCACATGCCCCGCCCCCAAAAAAAGGCTCATTAAGGTTTTCAGTTGCATCAATGTGACAAAATAGGAAAAAGTCAAAGGGAATGAATACCATACACGCATTACATTAATGCTATTTAATAAACATTGTCTGTAATTACCATCATGAAAATCTAAAAGAGCTTGTCTAAAAATATTGAAATATCTTTGAAGACAGGAAAGCTTTCCCAAGATGCATTGCAACACAAAAGTTTAGACACAACTAACTAAGATAGATTTAAAGCAAATACATTTTTGGGTAAATTTTTAAATTGACAGTTAATACAAAGTGTAATTCTGTATTTCCAAAGAAAGACAGATTTTTTTTTTTTAAATAGCAATATAAATTATTTTGTCATTGTATTTTTCTATTATGACAGGTGCTGCGTCTCCTCTGCAGTAGAATGCATAACAGAAGCAGCACAGTGAAATCTGCTTTGCTTTCCCAACTGTAAAAGTATTTTCTGACAACCTGCTTTGATCTCTGAAACATGAGAATGTTGTTTTAAACATCCATAAAATGCCCTTATTTAATAGCATTTTTATTGTAGGATTCTTTATGACCTGGAAAATCTGCCCTGAAAGCACGTTTTAACCCCAGTGTTCAGAGACTCTTTTTCATATTATTGTGGATTTTGTTGTGATTTATTTTTGCATTTTTCCCCCTCTATTACTTCACTGTAAAACAACATAATTGTTTTCAGCATTTAGATCTTGAATCTATACCATCCCAAATACTAAACGCACCAAATTGAACTGTCAGTGTACAGGCTATTTGACCTTCTGACCTATAAGGCTGGTAGGACTTACTTGTCCTCTCTGACAGAGTTCAAGCCCTTTTCAGAAGTGAAATGACCCAAGAAGCTGGTCACTGTTTACATCCACTGTTTAGATTAACACAATAGAAAAAAAAAAAAAATAAGTCAAGCCTTGTGTTAATGCACATCTTCCATGCTTTAAAACTCATTCCACCATTTCAGAAAAAGAAAATTCTGGAGCACAGAGTTATGGATCCAATCCAGGGACGTAGCAAAAAACAAAAAGAAAAAAGAAAAAAAATGTATCTATTATCATCCTTAAAGAGGCAGTATTTTGTATTCATAGCACAATCAAGTGACTATGTTACTTTCTGTTGCTATGAAAATGCTGCATATATCACACATGACTTAAAAAAAAATGCCATTGTAATATTAATGCATTGAAATTGGGCCTCTGTCTCTTTAAAAACTCCTGCTCTTTCTGAAACTCCACTTTCAGAAACTCATCACAAGGGTTTATTAAACCCTAAAGGGCTTCTCTGTTCTTCACTGAGAAGTAGTTTGTATAAGGAACTCAGCAGATGTACAGTTCCATCAGGTCTTTGCTAATTGCTGCTGGCTAGTCTGAAGGAGATGCGTGTGGGAGTCTGCGTTCACATATAGATTGGCACCACACCTGAGTCAACTTAAACCTAGATGAAGCAGGACCAGAGTTTGCCTTTTTTTGGTCCCCATCAGAGCTCGACGGTGCATTCACACCTCAGAACAAATCTGACTTTCTGTGGTTACTGCTAGAGTTCAGTCATAGTTGGTGTGTGTGCACCCTCCTTAGTGACCAAAGGAGCCAAGCGTCCCGTAAGAATGCATAAAATGTTGTGGATGTCTTTCACATCCACCTGCATGGTGCCATCACCTTCACTCCCCTCTTCACCTGGTTCATCAGCTCTAGCCTCTGCTTGCTGTTCCTCCCACCCAGTCAGCAAGCACCCTGCCGTGCAGGCGGTGAAATGATCATCCTCATCATCAAATACAGCAAGGACTCCCTTTCAGAGGCTGGTATGAAAACTTCTCAGGCCAGGAGGGGAGGGTGCAGACAGAAGGGATCACTTAAAGATCTCAATCCAGGGCTCTGCTCTCTCTTCGCCCCTCCTTCTCGCTTTCAATTCCCCCCATAAAGAGGGAAGGGAGGGGCTGCTCCCTTAGCAACTCCCAGCCCCCTGTCTCTGCCTGCCTTTTGTCCCCCCTCCCCAATAGCAGTTTCTGCTCCAGGAGCCTTAGACAAGGCCTCTATTAATTGCAGGCCTGTGTGGAATACATGTGGGACAATGGGCCCAACAGAGTGTCCAGCCCCCAGACAAGGCTGGAAACAAGTGGAACAGGAATCCGGCAGAATAGACCCGTCCTGGCTGATGTCACTGAATACATTTACCTACCTCGGAGCACATTCACTCTCTGCTTTGTTTTATTTGGACAAAAAAACAGAAGAAATCGCAGGCACAGGGAGGAGGCAGCAGAGTCAATGGAGGAGAGGAGCCGAGGGTGGGAGCACGAGGATGGGAAATAACCGGTTACCATGGCGATGAGTTGAATTCAAAATATGGTCGAGTTTAGCTGAGGCAGAGATGTCTAAAGGGTGGAGGGCATTAGATTAAACCATGGGTGAGATAAGAGAAGGCTGAAAACAGAGGTTTAGTTTTTAATCCATTCAGACCAGTTTATACGGCAATAAAAGGCCAATAAAGGAGCGGGAGATTAGGGGACTCATCCAGGCTCGTGTTTGTCAACAACAACCTGAGAAGATTCAAGTCAGCTTATTCCGAGTCAGTAGACGGGTTTTCAGGAGGGACGCTTCGGTATGCCTGGAGTCGCTGCTGAGGACAACTGGCACCATAGTAACTGGTATTTCACCATCACAACCTTCCATCTGTCATCTAATGTGGCAAGGTCCTGCATAAAAGGGTGGAGAAAAAAAAAGCAGCATTTATATGTTCAGCTTGGAGGCAAATGCAATGAGATTGAAGCCCTATTAAAGTCCCTTTGAAAGGGAAACCCAGCCATCGCCTTATCCCTCAACAAATTAAAAAAAAAGGCTTTTCGAGACTCTAAGAGAGGCCTCATGTTTAATTTTTTAAAACCCAGACATGAAAGTGTTGCTTAAACCACATTCAGCCCTGGCAACTCTTTAAAGCGCTCGTTAGCATGTAGATTATATGCATTTCAGTGCATTGTCAAAGCATCTAAGTGTATTTACATGTTAATCTGTTCAGGGATACCATCGTCTTGAAAAGGTATTGGGGGGTAAGTTGGTGAACTGTGCATTTTTTTCCATGCCACCACGGGAATGCGATTTCTTTGTGCCACCAAAGTTCAAACGCATTCCTGTAAAAGGCCGTGGACATTATGAGGGTTGATGCCCTGCATCAGAACAACCTGCGGACCTGTTGATCGGGGACAGACACAAGAGCTCCTTGTCTCAAAACGAACTCCATCGTAACCTCTGTTCTTTTATTGGTGCTGCAGGTCAAAAGCTCCACTCAGCGAGAGCATTGCTGATGCCCTGCCATGTGGGGCTTAGCCTCCTGCAAGCTCAGTCCATATCCATGAGGGTGTTTGTGTTGGCATTTCTGAATGTGAAGATGCCCCATTCTTGCCACTCAAGACAACTCACAAGACCAGCGTTATGGCCACTTATGGTGTGAAAGCCGCCTGTGGGATGCCCTTTCAGCTCTCGAGGACCTCTGGCTGAGTCCCCTTCACATGGCAGATCATCCTCACTTGGGGCGGAAAAGAAAAAAGTCTGCTTCTTACAGACAGCGCTGTCCTGAGGGATGCCGCAATCCTTGTCCCAGGGCCTCCCTTCTTCACCTGCCAGCTTAGCGCTCATCACTTATGCACATAATCCCTGGTTGTTGCGTGTGATTCACCAGCCTGGGCCCAGAACCCAGGACCCCCGAGCCTCCCATGCTTAAATGCTTCCTGGGTGGCTCCTGGGTGGCCATGGAAACTCATCTTCTCATGACAGTCAGGCTTCAGTCATGTCTCTAAGTCCCTCTTCAGTCACAGAGCGTCTTTTTTCTGTCCTCTGTTTTCCATCTCCTAATGCCCTCTGCCGTCCCTGTGTTGCCTTATCTATGGCTTTCTGTCTCTTTTCTTTGGCTCCCATGCATGGGCTCAGCTGATCCGCAGAAAGGGGCCAAAACTCTACAACAATGTGACATCTTTAGAAGACACAAAAGTGCATAAGTGCTATTCTGTGCCAAGTTTTAACGAGTGGATTTACCATCACTCCCAAATGAAGGCCTGACCTCATTTTATTGTGAGTCTCATCTGTAAAGTGAGATCGTAAGATAGACTTGTGCGCTCCTTTTCAGCATCGGCACTGCGAGGCCTGGGAGTGCAGATCAACTTACCCCCCCACTACAAGTCTGCAGCCTCAGCCATTAGTTTGCTCTGAGCTCTGAAGATCGCACAGGCCCTCGCGGGAGAACAAGACAGGCAACCGGGCAATATTGCACGGCCCCACATGAACAAGTGTCACAGTGATCCGGAGCAGTCCTCCCCCTGTGTGAACGCCATGTGAGAGGCGGCTCCATCCATGCCCCAACCACCTCTGCACAAGACTCTCCATTGACTTCTAACCTGATGAGGGACCACAGGAGACAAAGCGCAGCTGGGCGGGGCCCATCCCTCCGACAAGCCTGTGAACAAACGCTAACACGGCTGCAACTGTCCACCCCCTGAATCACTGAATTTATTGACCAACCACAGAGCCCATTCAGACCAGGAAGGACTGATAAATGAAGGGGGACAGCGATGCCATGAGGACCCGGGGTAAGGAGACGATGCTCAGGGGGACATTAGGGAGGAAAGGGGTTTTGTGACCAGCTGGTGGGTCACAGACCTTTTACCAGATGTGGTTGCCTTTGTGTCATCTGTAAAATGAGGCCATTGGTATGTGAGCATCAGGTTGGCCTTATGTCCCGACTATTAATCAAAACCGGGGCCTCAACTGGGTCTAAGAACCTGAGCAGAAACAGCATGCAAATTGGTCTTTTGCAAAGAAGGAATACAAAAGTTGAAGACGTGATGAAAATCAACACCAAAGTAATAGTTGGGGATTTTTACAGGACGTTATAAAAATCTGTTAAAAGTTTAAAAGCGGCTCAAACCTTCCAGCAGTAGATATCTCTCTTGCCGTCTTAATTTGGTATAAAGACTGGAAACAGACCAAGGGGACTTTTACATCTTAAAACAAGTTTAGTTGAAATGTGAGTTTATCTTATTGTTGCTTCATGAATCTTCGCACCGTCTTTGGCTGGTTGGTAAGGAAATGGAAGGAGGAGACATTGTACCAGAACCGATCTCATATGAAACCACAAACAGAACATGCTGGCCTTTGCAATCAAGACTAACAGATACAATAGCAACATTATGAAAAAGGCTGAAGTTTTACCGCAGATCTGCTCAAAGTAGCTGGCAAAACTGAAAATTGTGTTGTGTTTGCACAGCATGTCCACATACTAAGCTGAGATTTTTAAAAGCAGTTTTCAAAGATTAAAACTGTCAATTAAAGGGAAAACTGTCAATCTACAATTGTTTTGTTTTGGGGGAATATTTAAGCTAATTTAGCTGCAGCCGAATTCTGGATCTCCTTCTTTTAAATGCTTATGATTCCTCATCGCAAATTCATTGTCTGGTGTGTTTGTCCAGCAGTCAGTGGGTGAGAAGCAGGACACACCCTGGACATGTCACCAATCCAGCACATATTCCAACATTTACATTTCTATAAATAAACACTCAAAACAACATAACAGTTTAAAAGTTCACAGAATTATGACACAATGTTTCTGATATCGGAGCAGAAATCTGCTTTTGTCTTGGTTCTGCTTGGATAGTCTGGCTGTTGCTTTTCTACGCCGTTCTGCTCATTTTCCTTCACTGTTCCGTCTGGGCTTTCTCCAATTCAATTTGATTTCTTTGGTGGAATTTCCATCAGGCTAATCAATGAACAGAAGGAGAAGTTGTGAACGATGACAACAGTTTAAAGAATTGCTGTCTGTAGTTTTAGCAACTGCAGCGGAGGAAGTGAACAAAGCCGTCCACTCCGTGTTGAACTCCATATATTTTATTAACATTGTTGTTTGCAGTGCAGGAAATCTCCAGTAAGCTTCATAGTGACCTGCGTCACAGCCAAACGTTAGTAGTTTGGTAAAGTTTCGAGCTTCAGCAGCGTCTACGCCTGCAGCAAGCAGTTGTTTCTCGATAGCTGAGAGACTGCTGCCTCTGAACGAAGTGAAGCGTAGAACAAGGGAACAAATAGGATGCAAAGAACGTTATTTACTAAAAGTAAAATAACTATTTGAAAGGTATTAACAGAACCTTATTTTAATCCTGAATTCAGGGGACACTGTAAGCAGTGAGAGTGTAAACAAATCTTGAAAGTGGCCAACCTAAACAAAAAAAGTGTTACTTAAAAGACAGATTAGGAAAAAAAAGTTAACAATGTCTGAAATAGCACACGTATGAGAGCAAGCTTGAGAAAATCTTTTTGGGTGAGTTGCTAGCTGCGAGGAAGAAAGACTGTTTTATCTTCTTTATTTGTCTCCACCACTCTCCATCTGTTCCGACTGCGGACACAAAAGCAATACAGCAGAGAGTACACACACGCACACACACACACACACACGCACGCACACGCACACACACACACGCACACACACACAAACCCATGTCGCTCTGCGGAGAGGCAACACTATCCGCAAAAAACACCACACGGCAAACAAGCCGCTGAAAGCAAGACATCGGTGTTTACCAAAAAGATGATCCCACAAGTCACAGAGACACATGAATTCATGATGCCTCCTCATCCTCATCATGAATATTCCCCTGAAATAAAAGGCCCCTTCCCTGATCTGTGGGAGATTCCTTTCTTTTGGCTACAAGCGAGGAACCCCTTCCCCTTATTCACAGTCCGCGCTAAATCCGTCCATTCACGGCCTGTAGGCCCTGATCTCCACATGAAATGATAGCACTCTTTCTCCTCCACTCCTGCGTCCTTAAGGGCCCATATGCCAGGCAGCGAGGAGGCTGGGAAAGCCCATAATTGATCAGTGAGTCTTGGCTGAAAAAGTGTGACCAAGGTCAGCCCCCCACGAAGTCTGCAACACTGGCTTCAAATACACGTTTACTGGGGGAATTTCATGGAAGTTCTGCAGAGCAAACACTGGCATCAGACAAAAAAAAAATACATACATATATATATATATACATTTTCATTCAAATGAGACTTTTCCCACATTTTCACAGATTTATTTTTGTGGAGCTGACCGGGAAATACTTTATGAAAACAAGACTCTACGTACACAAAAATCTGATAAAATCAAGTTTTTAGTTCCATGACATTTAATATGCAATTATTAAAGTGGAATGTTCCATAATCATAAAAAAGACAGTGACATCAATCAGAAACAGAGGACCAAAGCATCTACAGGAAGACAGGTGGTTGTTTCTTTTCTCTCTTCCACAGGAAGAATTCTGACTCTAAAAAAGAAAAAAAAAAGCTAATTTAATGCTTTCTTTCTCAAAAGTACAACAGCACTGCGTACTTTTAATAAACTTAGCTTACAATAACCAGTACAATGACACCCTCTTTCATTTGAATGGTTTTATTTTTGCTATTGATTTGCAGTAAGTGGAATACTGATCAACATATTTAATGCACATTTCCTAGAAAACTTCTGAGATTGTCAAAATTTCATAATTTATTTCTTGCAAATTTTGGAGTTTTCAAACTCAAAACTGTCTCAAGTTTTTTCTAGAAAATTTCTGAGCTTAATCTCAAAATTTATGACTTTTTTTTGTCAGAAATGTCTTCTTCACTTGGGCCCAAGTACCCCATGTGGCAGGAAACCTCAAAGACATGAAACAGAGGTAGTTTTCTTCATAAGCTGGAAAGAAAAGTGTGCAAAAGAATCTCCACAACAGTCTGATGAACCAAAATGGCTCCAGAGACCCAATAAATTCATTTTAGAACCTTGAAGAGAGATGAGCCTAGAAATGAAAGAGGGCATACTTTCTTTTGTTTATGACTAAATCTTCCATTTATCCTTAAACGCAGGTCATCCTGTTCATGTTAAACTTCACGTTTATTTGAATAATGACGGCTTGATGACAGTAGAATAAACTCCATGATAAACTCAGAGTCGCCTGCGGTATTTGTATTTTGTCTCAGCACTGTAAGCCTAGTAAGATGAATTCATAAAAACACTATTATTACAGCAGTCAGTGTTCAGTATGTGCAATTATATTCTGTACCACTTCTGAACCTTTTTGTAACTCAAGTTACAAATGACTTGCAGATGACAGGATATGAAATATAAACTGTAAAAATTGTTTTTAAACGTATCTACTCCTTACTTTAAAGGATGTATTTCAGATCATCAAACCAACAAGCCAATTTTGACATTAGACAGAAAACCTGATTAAACACAGAGAGGGATGATTTCATTCAGAAACCTCTTCTGACATTATTTCTACTATGTGAAAAAATAAACGTCCATCTTGTTAGAGCAGTTGGCTGAGATAATCCTTCTCCCTCTCCTGCTGTTAATTGTTACTTTTTTATTAACAATGAAGTTACTCCTGTTTCTGTTTTATGTTGCTGCTCTGTCTTCTCAAACCCCCAGGCAGACAGCTGCTTGTACTGAGCCAGGTTCTGGTTCTGGTTCTGCTGGAAGTTGCTTCCTGTTAAAGGGGAGTTATTCCTCCTCACTGTCCCAACATGCATGATCGGTCTAATGGATTGCAGTAAAGTTAGTGACACAACGCGAGCGACTATTGCTGAAATAACCTCGTGAATTATAAATGAACTGGACTGAATTGAAAATCACTTTGATTTTCAATTCAGTCCAAACAATCATAAGACCTGTGGAACATGCTCAAAAACTCTCCAGTCTGACTGAATTCAAGAATTCTGCCATTTAGAGTGAACCACAACTCTTTCACAGTCAGTAAAAGATTAATCAGCAGTTCTTGAATTCTGTTGTTGTCTTCTTAGGTAAAACAAGCTGTGTTTCCATCGACCATATAGTTACACAGTTTGACATTTGGAAAATAGTTTAGCTTAATGGAAACACAGCACTTTACAAAAAATCGCGTTTTTCGATGAAATGTTTGGGGTAAGGTGAGGTGGAGGGATGTTTTTGGCCGTACTGAAATTGTTATATTTTGCGAAACTGCAGTGGAAACACTTTTTTCTTTTTTTTTGCATCACAGAAGTCACATGATCAACAACCATAAAGAAGTCGACAGGAAGTAGTTGGAGGATGATGGCGAGGAATGATTTTCAATAATTTATCTTCTGATTTTAATTGCATTTTTTATGTAATGGAAACACTGCAATTGCAAAATTGCATTGGCTTTTGTAATTACAGGAACATCTGCAAAGTTTTGCGCAACCCAGATCAGGCAGTTCTTAGGGTCAGGAGTAAATGACCTTTTACATACGTCTGTTGAACACTTTGGAGTCAGTCAGGTTCTCTTTGTCTGTTTGGTGATCTGAAACATGGAACTGTGACAACAAAAGAGATAAAATCTGAATAAGGGTAAACCATTTTTTACAGTATTCTTGTCATTTCTGCATTTATTAGGACATTCAAGTATGATTCATGACAGTAGCTCCATAGCATTAGCATTCGCATTAGCATGCAAGGCTTCAAAAATGGAAAGACCTCAGGCTCAAGCCAGGATTCAGAGTTTAGTTCACTTTGATATAGCGGGTAAGAATGAAGGACATCGAGTAAGAGACCGTGTGTGTGTGTGTGTGTGTTAGTCTGTATCAGTAGGAGACGTCGGGCTACACCCCCTGCAGGGATCAGAGGGCCGCAGAGACGTGGGGCTGTGCTTCGGTGGGGTATGTGACAGTAGAGGGTTTGGGGGGCCAGTCGGCGTCGTCCTGCAGCTCCAGGGCCAGGTGCCTGTACAGAACCTTCTGCGGCTTGTTCCTCCGACAGAACAACCGGGACAGGAACGACGCGCCCCAGCTGTCGTTAGCAACCTGTCGGCACATCAGCAGCAACAAACATGTAGGAGTCAAAGCACTCCTACAAGTGAACGATGTGGATATTTAACTAACAAAAAGATGCAGAATTTTATTATTTTTAATGAGAAGCACAATAAACACGTTTGTGAAATTCTGAATTTGTTTATAAAGCTTTTTAAAAGAAGATTCTGTTACATTTTCACCATCATAGAAAGTTACAAAAAAAAAAAAACAAGCTAAACAAAAGAAAAGCGTGTGCTATCTACTCCTGGTACACTATTGCCTTGTGTGGCAACACTGCAAAAACACAAAGTCTTACCAGGTATTTTTTCCTCTAGTTTCTAGTGCAAATATATTAGTACACTTGAAATGAGACAAAAGTAACTTAAAAGAGACTTTTTTTAGCTCGACGTCTTAAGTTAAGCATTAACTTAAGGCATAGTAACTTAAGTTAATAATTTCTTAAATAATTGAAATGGCAAGTGTTATTCACTTGTTATAACAATGACAGATTATTTCAGTCATTGTTTTTCAGTGATTTACTGAAAAACAAGCTTTTATATCTCACTCAAAAATTAATTGTATGCCAGGTTTGTCTTATTTCTCATTCGGATATTTGCCCCAGAAAACAGAGGAAAAACCCCTAGAAAGACTTTGTGTTTTTGCAGTGCATAAATAAATGCCCTGAGGTAAATATTGCTCCAGCATTCTAGAGTGATACATAAAGAGCTGAAAACAGAGGTTTGCATAAATGTCACGGAAGAAAAAACACTTCTGCTGGTCATGCAATGTGCTAACAGCAGAGCTAACTTTTCGTTCAGCATTTGAAAACGCTCAGCACATTCAGCTTCTTCATAAACAAATCTTTCCAGATGAAGTGCTGGAAAGATTTGTTTGGCTGTTTTGTTAGTTTTGTTAACTTTCAGTTGAGTGAAGTTCAACATCTGTGTTGACGTTTTATTATTGACTGTTACAAATTCTTAAAGCAGTAAGACATTTATGTTAATTATCTGCTCACCTCCAAAGAGCTCAGTGAGTGAAATCTGGTCTATTATCTGATTGATTGAAAATAATCTGGTAGACTTTGAAATAAGCGTTGGACTTTCAGTATCAGAAGATCAGGCAGGAAAAAGTAAGAAATGGCATCACAGTTGCAGTCCTTTGATCCCAGTACCATGCATTATACCAAATGTTGACAAATCAAGAGCAACACATATACTTCTTATATGTAATAGGCCTTCATGTTTCACCAAATGTGCAAACTTGTCTTCACATTTAAACACACTAAAATGAGATTTTCATACATACTGAACCACCACAGACAGCAGCTTTAGGAGTGAAAGAGAGCCAGGGTTAAGAACAAGGTGCTATCTAAACAGTGACACTGAATGAAGCAGATTTTAGTAAGAGAGAAGAGAAAAAAAAGGCTTCCCGACCTGCGGTGTGTCGCCAGAGGAGGGCGCTCTGGGGCCATTTGCCCCCTGACTTCCTCTGAAAACAAGCCTCCACAAGATGATGTCAACGATCAAAATCTACGAGAGATTTCAGGGGAGGGGAACTTCAAGAGTCGGCTAATCATCAAGATTGAGTTACAGCATCAGAAAAACGGCAAGTGTCACAAATTTAAAAGATTTAATTAGCGCATTTCATTCATTGAGAAGCAATAGTGCAGCTACAAGCAGGGTCTTGGTAAAGAAAAAATAATAATAAAAATAATTCAATGCATGCAAATCACACTTTGAATATTGAGGCAGATCGATCAGAGACAGAATGTGATGTCGTACCTCCAACATGAAGGACACGACGGCATTCGCTGCAATAACGATGACCAGAGTAAGACGCCAGTCATGTGGAACACACACGATCTGATGGGTGGAGGGGGGAGGAGGGCAGTGCAGACATGTGAAGTCATCACACAAAAGACTTTTTCTCACACAACTGGTCATTTTAATTTAAAGCTGCAGTATGTAATTTTTATACATTTATATATTATATTTTTGTTAAAACTGCCACTGTGTGGTGATAGTTTGTTATCAGACAGATAATCTGTGAAAAGATCGATCTCCTTCACCTCCTCCCTGAGCAGCTCACAGTCTGACCAAACGCACTCAAAACAACCAATCAGAGTCAGGAGGAGGGGCTTTGAGCTGTCAATCATCCTCATGCATGATTGACAGTAAGAAATGACGGAACTAAACGTGCCAACGGTGTAGAAACAACTTAGTTACAGGAAAATTGTTTGTCCGCCGTCCACAGTGGACGTCCTCACAGCTGCTGGACCTGTAGTAAATGTGGCATTCACTACAGGCTTTGCAAGCTGCAGTGTAACAAAGAGCAAGTGGGATGAGCAGTTCCACACGGAGGATGATTGACAACGCTAAGACTTTTCTTGTTTTTTTAATGTTTTTTTTAATGTTTTTGTATATATCAGTATATATATATATATATATATATATATATATATTATATATATATATATATATATATATATATAAACTAGTGCACACAGAACAAACATTATAGATCAAAAAAGTTGTGCAAAATAATTTTGTTATCTTTAAATGTCTTATTTTCTTACTCTCCTGGATTCACCTAGCGTCACTGGTATTTTGGGAAGAAGTGGAAAAGAGAGAAAGAAAAAAGAATAACAAAATAGATAATTAGATTAATAAGAGTATGTACCAGGTTATATAAATAAAGGATAACTAAACAACACTTTCTGTGGTCTTTTTGTCAGACTGTGGCTGTTTCTAGTTAACACTCGGAGAAGGTAGATGAGCTCAGATCTTTTCACAGATTATCTGTCCCATATGTAAAAAATATATATATTTATATATTTAATACTGCAGCTTTAAACCTGCTTTCAAGAAGAAAAAAAAAGAATGTTTGAATGAATGTATCAATTGCATTCTTTTATCATCCATTAGCATGCAACTACCAACTAAATAGTGTCTTGGATTTACACCCAGAATTAATAAAAAAGTAGTCAAAATGTTTACCTCTAGAAAGTTATCAACAGCAGAGATGGGGTACAGCATGATGAAGAGGAGGAAAGAGTAGAGGCCGACACAGGACAGCATGAACGGCCCTTATCAAAGATAAAAAATAAAAATAAATAAAAAGACGTTCAGAATGTGTTTTTGTGTTTGCCTTGGCTTCACATATAACAAAGGCAACACATTAATATAGTCGTCTCGCTGCAACTGACGTACAGTTTTTGTAACTGGGCTGCCTGAAGGGCTTCCCTTTGGAGAAAACTATGGCCACGACTAAATACTGGAAGGACGACACGTAGAAGAGGGACGTGTTCTCGTAGTTGCGGATGTTTTTGTGGTCGTGAGAGGTCGTTCCGTTCCGGCGGTCGGAGAAGCTGCTGGGTTGGGAGATGTTGCAGGCGCTGCAGGACAGAGGGAACGCAAAAAAAAAAAAATAAACTGATTCAGAAATACAATAACTCCTTCAAATCAAAAATGATTTGTGCAGCTAATTGATTACAAATTTTAATCAAACTAATTGCAAGGTCACGTTTTAATCAAAACTTATATGTTGACAAAGTATGTAACATTTTCAATCCACAAACTCATTGCTGCAAAATTTTTGAATGAATAGACATATACAGATATTTATTGTTATTTAGGTTCTTCACCCATCAGATTGGTGAAAAAGCAACTATACACCTTCAGATTGCATCCTGATCATTCACAGAAATTCTTTGAAAAAAACTTTATTTTGCAATGAAGCCATTGGTGTCCCACAGTGGCGGTGACTCACTCTGACTGAGGCGTCCATGTCTCGTACCAGCTCTGCTGTTGCACCAGGTAGAAAGCCAAGACCTGGAAGGCCAGGCAGGTGAGGATCTGGGTCAGAACCGAGCAGAGCAGCGGGCCCGAGATCAGACTGGACGGAGGACGCTGCCTCACCAGATCCTTCCACGCTGGGTTCAGACTCACTGAAGACAGGCAAAACAAAAAACACACACGCGCGCACACACACACACACACACACACACACACACACACACACACACACACACACACACACACCCACACACACACACACACACACACACACACACACACACACACAGGCATCAGTAGAATGACCTCCAGTGACTGATATCCCGACCAGCTGGAGCTCACTTGTGAAGGCGATGATGAGAATGATGACGAGGTCAATGAAGAGAAACTGGAAGTCTCCCAAGTTGCTGAGGATCTGCGTTAACAAAAAGGTTAAAACTGCGCAAATAAAAAGGAGAAGACACAGAAAAGAAGAGATCAGTGGAGTATTTACCCAGTAAAGCAAAATGACACTGATGTACTGGATGATGCTGTAGAGAGCCATGAACTTAAAGACGCAGAACGAAGTGATGAGGGCGGCTCGTCCCTCCCTTTGGAAAACATAAACATTCAGACATTATTGACTAAAATTATTATTCTAAATATAATGTAAACTAGATAATAAAGCACGATGTCGTTGAGAGTACGAAAGACTGAGTAGATCTGCCCTTACAGATCAGGTACATTGTCATTGATCCTTGAGATTTTTTTTTCCAATATCAGGACTGATACATATATTAATATCAGATCGGTACATCTCTATCAGACAGCAGGAGAAAAGTGCGAAAAGCTGCTAACATATGTGTCACTTTGCACAGCGACGCTCCAGGTCAGGACCTCGTCTTCACCGTACCTGATGAGGTTGGGGACACAGGAGATGTTGGAGGTGGAGGAAGTGAAGGGAGAGGCGACCGACGCCTCCAGCTGAGACAGAGAAATCCCACTGTGTGCTCTCTTCAGGGCCTGAGAGGGAAACACCTTCAGTTACTCTGAGGCAGGCGACGGAGTATTCGTTTTCTAAGTTCATTTCTTTTTCTAACTTAAGAGAATAAAAGCATAATATTATGAGAATTAAGTCGTATGAAAATAAGGTGTAAATAATGAGAGAAAAAAAGTCCTAGTAAGGTAACAATAAAATCATAATTTTACCAGAATAAAGTGTTTAGAATACGAGAGCAGCAGACGACTTTATTCGTCTGTAGCAGAGGCTAAAAATCTGTAATCTAAACTCTAGTACTGAATATTTCCTAAAACTAAATTAATATGATTTTTAATGTTATATTTTAGCATTTCTTTGCTTATCCTGTGTGTTTTTAGTGTGCTGTGTATTTAAGTTTTCTCCTTTATGATTCTGTTTGATCTACTTAGTGTTCTGTTTGTAATTTTACTTGATTCCTGTAAAGCATCTTTGAGTGTTTGGAAAAGTGCTATGTATTTTAAATTCCATTATTATTATTAATCAGTTTGAGGAGCATGTTATGTGACTTCCTGAGCTGTCTGAGTAACATCCCATCATATTTCACATGAGCTGATCTGCCAAATGCACCTGCAGTTTAGAGAACCCAAACTTACCCCACAGTCATTGGCGCCGTCGCCACACATCCCAACAATGTAGCTGGAAAGTAAACAGAGTGGATGAAGCTGCAGCAGTGAAAACAGACGGAAATGAGCCAAAGTGAAATGAGCACTGAGTGAGAATCAGAGAGACTCACTCAATGCCCTGCAGGATCTCCACCAGCTGGGTCTTCTGGTCTGGCGCCATGCGCGCGAACACGGTGGCTCTAAGTGCGAGCTGCAGCGCCCCCATGTGGGAGGAAAATGTCATTACAACCACAGAAGCGGAAAAAGCTAAACAAACCTGGTATGGACATGTCAACGTGCAAAAACAAGACAGTACCTTCTGCATTAGCTGAGGAAAGTGTTCTGTGATAACAGCAAAGGTTCTTCCATTCAGAGCGAAGTGATACATCTCCTCCTCCACGAGGATCTGTGCAGTCTGAGGGAGACATGGTGTGGACAAACTGATGGTTTCAACTCAATTCATCTCACATTATTATATCATTGTACAACATAATTAAATCAGGAACAACACAGAGCCATTCAATACTGATTTAAGTATTTACATAAGGGATGAAAATGTTCTGTTCTTCACTCTATGTTCCATTTTCATATCAACCAGAAGAGGAGCACAGCTGTTTTCAAAGCCTCTTACTAAATATAGAGGTTTATTTGTTTCCTGCATTCTTAAGATGTTCAATTTCTCCAAAAAACAACAAAAAACAAAAACACTACAAATAATAATAATATAAATACAACCAAAGTATGAAAAAAACTAAAGCTACTACAATAACTAATATAAACTCAACTAAAACTAAACAATATTTAACTAATAATAACTATCCAACAAACTGTAAAAACAAATAAAATCTGAATGAATTAGTCAAACAAAAAGTCACAATAAAATAAAACTAAACTATAATGAAAAGCTATAGTTTGACTGAACAGCCTTTGAACTTCTAGTCACTTCCTGGTTCAGACTGCAGCTCTGCTGGAGAGCCGGCCTCATTCCACAGGACTCCAGGGCTGGTTGTAGTTTCAGTCGATGGGAACATTAACTCTGAACTCCAGCAGAAAATACTGAAGGAGGAAATCTAACCAGCACTTTCTGATTCCGCATTTAAATGATCCGAAGCACATCAGCAGCTTCACCTCCAAATGTCACACAAAAAGATCAAAATGAAAGTTTTCCTCAAAGTCAAAGTGTGGACTTGAATCAGACTAAGATGCTGTGGGATGACTTTAAATGAGTCATTAATAATTGGAAAGAAAACTCCACTTTGCCTGAATTAAAAACAACCTTATGTGAGTGGGCCACAATTACTCCAGAGTGGGAGAAAACACTTATTGGCAATTTCCACAAGCATCTGAGAGCTAAATATCTAAACAAGTCAAATCATCAACTGAAACTGTTTATTGTACTAATTGGTCTAAAATATGTGACAAACAGAACCAATCTGTACTTGTTCACAGCACTGAAGATCTGAGAAGCTCACAGGACAATAACTATAGCAGCAGAAAGCTGTTAAAAACTGAGTCCCTGGTGGGTTGAGTGTTCGCTGTGGGGAGACACCTGCACAAATACTATGACATCATGGAAGAGTGAAAAGCAGAAAGTCCTGCAGAGATCTGTGAGCTGGTAAATATGTAGAGATATGAGGATTAACCTCATTTGGTTGCTCCTCAATGTGTGTGAGGAGCAGTGTGTGTAACTTTCATCATTTTGATTGTTGAATTGTTTTTGCTCGAGAAAAAAAATGTCGTACAGTGAAAGTCTTTTAATCTCTTTCTGAAAACTTTTTTATGAAATAGCCAAAATAAATAAATAAACTTTGACAGGCTACTAGCAGTGGTGGGAACACTTCAGCTAAAACGCTAATGCCCTAATTGTTTGTGTAGCACTTTAGCACATTTGCTAACTTTAAAAACATTTAGCGCACTTAGCTTGCCCTAATTTAATTTTCCTGGATGACCTCTAAAAGCACTAATTCAAATAAAAATTTGACATCTGTGCTGAGGTTTCGGTTATCAGTTAAGAACCTTTCAGGCAGTTGCAACGTTTCTATTCCTGCTCTTGGTTTGGAAGCCATTTAGTTTCATTTTGGCTCCGAATTTTCTCTCTGTTTTCTCCCCAAACAGCTTTACTCCAAACCAGAATCACGCAGGAACAATACAACAGTATGCAACGAGAACAAGCTATGAATATTAGTACAATGTCTAATCCTGGAACATGTAAGCTACAATGTCAACTAATTTTGTGCCGAAGGATTGTAGTCTTTCAAAGGCAGATAAGATTTGAAATGAAGTTATTGTTTGTTTTTTTGTTTGTTTACACCAACAAATGATTACTTAGGGACATAACTCTGTTGCTTTTAATGACTCCAGCCTAACGTTCCTCGAAACCTCCAGGCTGACCTGATCGTCTTTGGGGGTCTGAGCCGGGTTGTCCACGTAACGCCACATGATGCAAGGGGGGCGCGAATCCCTGGGGGGGACAGCGTCAGCGACGATGACGTTCTCGTGTGGAAGGACCATGCCACAGTCTCGGGCCACAGAGACAGCTGTCAGCATGTTGTCCCCTGATAGAGAAAAGCGATCAGCCGGGACCGGCGTGCGTTATGCCCGATGAGCAAACCTACCTGTGACCATCAGAGTGCGGATGTTGGCCCTCCGGAGCTCAGTCAGAACGCCAGCCGACTCCTGTTTGATTTTGTTCTGCATGACGATCAACCCGAGGAACTCCATGTTGGTCTCTATCAGATCCCTGAAAAAAACACACAAACCCCCCACAAAACTTACACCTGTTTGACTGTGATAACAGAGTAACCGCAAACAGAAACAATGAGTCGTTGAAATTCAAATTCAAATGAAAAATACTTTATTTATACCAATGGGAAATTAAATAAGGTGCTTAGAGAGTGCTGAATAAAATGTTTCTGCTTAGAGATGTATGATATAACAGCAGCGTCATTGGTATCATGCTCTTCATATTGGTTATTTAGTAATATATCGGCATCAGTCATATGAAATATTAACGACCGATATTAATTTCCAATTTGTTTCTGGTTTTTGTGGTGCTTGTTTGGTCATGTGGCAGTGAGAGAGGTAGATTTTGTTAAGGTGCCATAAGTGTAGTGACATATGTAAATTACACAATATGGGAAAAAATTGGCTTCTGGCCATAACAACAATGTTAACAGGGATATTGAAATGGGCCCAAATTTTCATATTAGTTCTGCTACTAGCGTAGGGTTTATCATTTGTTGAGATAAATTTATTTGTCTGATATGATTTTTGATTTATTGCTGCCACGATAAATTCCAGCTAATTATAAGTAAAACCCCACAAAACTGTCCGTATTGTCAGGACTGTTACTTTTATGATTTTCTCTATATTTGTTCAAGAAAAGTATCAATACATATGAATTAATTTAACAATATGATTAAATGCTGTTACTGTGTGTAGCTTAGTGATCAAAATTAGACTTTTTTCTGCATTCTAGGGTCCTAAAAAAGCATGTTACACATGGATTTTTCTTTTTTGAATCAGTATTTGTGCGGCTCTGATTGCTGTCATTTCATCACAGCCATATTGTTACCTAAAATAAAAGTAATAAATAGTTCTTATCCTCACTTTTATCGTTATCACAATAACACCATAAAATACTGTGATAAAACTTTAAGTCCATCATGGCTGCACGTCTTCTGAGGCATGTCGTTACTGGCGTTTCACAGCTGAAGGTTAAAAGTTTTGCAGAATGGAATAAAATCCCCAAATAACAAAGTGAACAAAAGGGAAATTAAATAAAGTGCTGAGAGATTGTGAGGCAGCATAAAGTTTACGCTGTGTGAAAGTCATATTTGCTTGTAGATTGGACGGGAGAAGATCAGGGTCGGAGTTTAAACATTAACAGTGGAAATGCGGACACAGATTCAGAATCCCGGTGGGAGCGAGCGTATGCACCACCAACGCTTTTTATCTTTGATTAGTGACGTACCTGCTGAGCATTTGGACTTTGTGCCAGGACAGTTTGGACTCCAGCTGTCGGTGTGCTAGTGCAATCACCCTGAAGCCCTGCCTGGTGTAGCTCTCCAGAGTCTCAGTGAAACTCTGTGGGACTGAAGGGAAGGACAGGATGGGATCAGACCGCTCTGGACGCACTGGGCCCCTGGATGAGGGACCAAACCATTCTGCTGCTGCTGTATTGCTATTGCTATAAAGAAGACAAAAAAAGGAGAGGCTGTCTTCACCCCAAAAGAAGAAAGCCTGACCTGAGTGTGGTTTGCATAGGCCAGCCACGACCTCCGGTGCCCCCTTCAGGAAGGCTTCCATGTGTTTGTCCCCCAGCCTCCTGACCACCACACTCATCCTCTGCAGGGCCGAGGAGAAGGGGAACTGTCGCACTATGCCCATCTCACAGGACTGGGGAGACAACGTTGATGAAAACTTTAAAATATTCATTTTCTCCATGCCCACAATGCCGTATTAGGGCCACTGTAGACAGAAAAAGGAGAAAATTTCTGCCAAAACTTCAGAATTTTTTTTAGATTAAGCTCAGAAATCTGAGCACCAAAAGTAAAAACATTTGCTAGAAATGAATCGATCACGTTTATTTGTATAACACATTTCAGCAAAAAGGCAGTTCCAAGAGCTTTACATTGAACCGCTTTGCTAGCAAAAAAAACAACCAAAAAAAAAACTCTGAAATTTTGAGATTCATCTCAGAAAAGTTCTAGAAAAAAACGTGGAATTTTCTGAATTTGAAATGTTGTAGATTCAGAAGAAAGAATTAGTTTTAGAAGAAACTTGAAGATTTTCAACTTTTAAAATTCTGAAATGTCCAAGTAGTTTTTTTTTCTGGAATTAGAAATGATTGTTAATGTTATTGTAATTTCTAATTTCTAGAATTGATCTAAAAACTTCTGAGTTTTTTGGCAGAAATGTACTCCTTCCTTTTTTCTATCAAAAATGACACAAACAGGTTGCCATATTCATCTTCCTTAGAAATGTTCACATTTTGTTGCCCACAAACTGACTTTACATAATCGTCACATTTAATGTAGAAAACATTAAATCTGGCTGATCATTGTTTTGATCAGACATCAGTTTTGATTTGATCAGTTTTTGAACCTCACACACACAGCTCTGAAAGTATTCCCAAAAATGCTTATGGCAACATTTCAACTGGATTTCACTGCATATATTAACATATTTTTTCCCATTTTATAACTGAAACAATCAACCAATGGAATTGTTACTATTTATCAATATTCAGGAGTTATTGCCTTGGGGTGCAGTGGGGTTGAAGGGGCAAAGCGCGACCCACAAATTGAGGCCTTAGTGCTCGTGCCGTTGGTCGCAGGTTCGACTCCCGGCCTGGCGATATTTGCCGCATGTTTTCCCCGTCTCACATTGCCTTCTTTCCTGACCAACTACTTTCAAATAAAGGCCACTAGAGCCAACAAAATCGTAAAAAAAAAATATTGTCTTAAAACAAGTTGGAAAGCTACATGCAAGTCAGTTTTGTCATAATTTAAATATGCCAAGATATTTGCAGTAGAAACCAGATTAAAAAGAAAAGACTTGGTAATATTTTGTGTTTCTGCAGTGTTCTGAGCAGAGCAGCTGGATTCAGACACTAATTAAATTACAAGAGGATCTATTTACTGATTTCATGATTCTGAAGGAAACTGGTTTCGCTGGATTTTATTTAGAGGCATCACAGTGGAAGAGACCTGACTACAAATGTATGCCACACTTTTCAGACTTTCATTTATAAAGAAAAAGAGAAAAAACATGAATCATTTCCACAATTACGCTCTACTTTGCGTTGGTCTGTTGAATAAAATCCTGATCAAGTCTGCTGAAGCTTGTGGTTGTTTTGAGACAGAACGTGAACGTCCTGTCTTACACTAAAGTAAAAGTGGACATGCTGGAAATGTACCGTGTTCTGGACCTGTGACTGGCTCTGACCGTCTTCAGTGACGTCTCGCCTTGGAGGTCGAACCACTGTGGGCATCAGCGGATTGTGAAGCGCGGTTTCTTCTTCTGTCGGCTCCTCTAAGACCTAAAGAGGGGAGGGGGGGGGAATCCATAAATATTTCTGTGGGACTGAAGAGAAGGACACATTCAAACCGTTTCTGTCTGAAACAACTTTTCACTCACCCAGCCTGTGGAGGCAAACATCTTCAGATCTAAAGGGTCTCCAGAGAGCTCTCCTTCTATGTTGGTGAGAGAGTGACAGGTCGCCATGCAGGCCACGAAGGCGCTCTTCACCAGGCGCTCCTCGGCTGGGCCCGGCTCCGGAGCAACAAAGCTGCAGACGCAAGGCGGGGAGTTCTGCGTTCGCTTTCAGGGAGGAAATGAGAGAGAGCCTCTACCTGCCATGTTCTGCTCTATGGATGCCCCACAGGTCCAATCCATCCTCAGTTAGGGTGCCAGTCTGCAGGATAAATACAAACATGCAGCTAAAGCACCAACCACAGCATTTCACTCTTAAACTGCTCCCTTTTCATTAGATCATTTTTAGAATTGCAAAAACATCAAATCTTTGGTCTGGCTTATAGTGCAAATATCTTAGTGCACTGGAAATAAGACAAAACTAACTTACAAGTACCTTTTCAGCTTGCTTTAAGTCCATAATTCTTGAAAATTGATCTTTACCCGTTCTACTAGCAGACTGTTTCACTAACAACATGGGAAAATGTTTTGATGCAACTGAAAAAAAATCTGCGAGTGAAATATGACCTTGTGCTGTTCTGTGGATTAAGTACCTTGTCAAAGCAGATCAAGTTCAGCTGGCCACACATGTTGATCCTCTGAGGACTGATGCAAAAGATGCCGACGCGCTTCAGACGCCGCTGTGCGTACACGATGCCGGCTGTCATGGCCGCCGGTAAGGCCGGCGGAACAGTGATGGTGATGATGTCCAGAGACTCGATGATGATGGTTTTAGCTGAAACCTTCATGTTTTGCAGACACCATCAATGAAAACTACAAGTTCCGCATTTAGAGGCATCCCTAGCAAAGGGGCATTAATATCAGTTTTACAGCTACGTAGTGACATTTTATAGCAAAATAATGTAATTATGTCAGATGTCATCATATATATCAAATTAGCAAACATCTGGCAAAATTAGGAAAGAAGGTATGTGCTAGTCTGAAGGAGCCAAGTGGTGGAGTTGCAGTGGAAGAGCTGACACTCAGCTGGCACTGGGATGCTTTGAACATCTGAATGGCTGCCATGGGAGATGAAAGGATGTCTCAAACATGCATATAAGAATCAAAGAAACACTCCAGATATGTTTTTGATGAGGGAAAAACATTATAACAAGAAGCAAAACTTAAAAAGGTAAATTTTACATCATACTGACCCTTTAACAGGGGGGAATCCATTTCAAAACCCCCACTGACACAAATACACAAAATATAACAGAGGAAATGAATTTCCTTTAAACGGTTTGAAAGCTGATCAGAGTTAGTAGGAACTTTTAATAAGTAACCCGTGTTCTCCTTTTTCCCAGGGGAATGCAGATTAAGTGGCACCTATATTTACATTGTTGCCATTTCACACTGAGAACAAAGGAAGGGAGGCAAATAAATCTCTAAAACTCACTGATAGGACAGTTGCAGACAGTTGCTTAATAGTTACGCAAGAAAAGAGTCTATTCTGTTCTAGATAAAGATAAATATGCACTAAACTCAGCCAGAACACTGGCGTTTGGATGTATTGTCTTATATTACTTGGAAATGGACTCAAAACCACAACATTATCGTTTATGCCAATAACATCTGTCACAGCTTATCGTCCAGCAACATTTTGGTGAAATATTGGTGAAAACTATTAGCCAATTGTATAAATGTACAAATTAAAGGTCGGATTTTTCTACACTTTTTCATTTGAATTCATGCAACTACAACATAACGCGTTTCCACGTCTTCACGCTGAGAAGCATGATAAACCCCTGCAGACGTGTGAGGACAGCAGCAGTAGGACCTTGTTCATGATGCTGAGGACGATGGTGTAGACGAAGCCGATGCCCGCCACGCCCACCAGACACAGCAGGAAGAGGTAGGCGTCCCGGTACAGCCTGAAGTCTGTGGGCTTAGGGTGGAGAATGGAGCGCACCAGCTGGCCCTTCTCTGTACTGAAGCCTGTGGAAGGATTAGGTGGAGGGAAAACGTTGAGATTGTTGGCATTTTTGCGTTTTGACGATGAACATTTTTACACGGATGCCTCACCTGTTCGGATCACCACGGCCTTCACCAACTCGCCAGAGTAGAATCGGGTCTGGATGACGTGGGTCCCACAGAACAGTGTGTGTCTCTTGTGTTCCTCCACGCTGTATCTCCTCGCCGCCTCGTCGCCCGAACTGGGCAGACTGGTTTTGGTCACTGGAACACTTTCGCCTGCGGGAAGAAGGTATGTGGAGAGATATCCAGTTTGGATGGATTTTTTTCTTTTTAGCTCAACCTGTAGCACTTAGGATGCCATGACTAGAAAATTATTCTCAGGATATTCCCACGGCTCAGGAACAAATGAAGATTTTAAAAATCGGCTTTTAGAGTCTTATATCATACTAGCTCAGTCATATCTGCCTCGTTTCCAGAGCTGGACAGAGAACCAGAGCAGCACTACTTCAACATGTTTTCACTCAAGTAAAAGTAAAACACAGAAATTACTCGAGTTAGAGTGAAAAAGTATTAAAGGCGACTGAACTGATCAAAACATCAATCATTTGACATTTAAAAATTACATCATCAGACAAAGGAAATATCAAGTTTTGTGGACATTTTGTTATGTTAAAGACCAGAATGAAAACAACTCATATAAATAGTGTAAATAGAAAATAAGAAAATCATTCATATAGAACATTATTGCAAAAACTATTTATTTTCATATAAAACTATAAAACAAAATCTGCAGGCGTGTGTCTGTACCCGGTGAAGTTTTTGGTTAAAACATGTTTGTTTTTTTCATTCACTGGATATAGAATCTGGAAATTTTACTCAAGTAAAAGTAAAAAGTACTTTTACGAGTATTACTAAAAATAACCCTAAAATGTATTTTAAAAACCTACTTAAGTAATGTAACTACGGTAGTTACCATCCAACTCTGAAACATTTCATTTAAAAAAAAAATTTATTTACATACTGCTCCTTTAAAACTTAAAAGAATCTGAAGCCCGGCAAACATCCACACCTGTCAGCATGCTCTCGTTCACAACGCAGGTCCCTTGGAAAAGCACGGCGTCACACGGCATCACCATCCCATTGGGCGGGATGGCGATGACATCACCGGGCACGAGCTCCGTGGACATGGCCTGTTCTGTGTCTGAGACGGACACAACAGTGAGCGAGGAGAGCGGGCGCTTCAGCAGCGACGTGCAGCAGAGCGTCAAACATGCCTTTGTCTCCTCTGCACACCGACACTCGCATCACGCTGTGAGACGCCACCATGTCGTGCAGCATCACGTATTGCTGCAAACAGTTCGAAGAGAGATTTACTCAGAAATATATATATTAAAAAAAACATGAAAGGATCACATGACTAGCAGAATTCCAGTTTGTAGAAATCTAGAAGGCAAACAAATTGAACAAATTCTTCTCTGGTCGGCTTTCCCTCGTCTTTGCCTCACCTTCCTAATGGTGTACAGTGAGGTAGCTATGGATATGACCGACATGAAAACGATGGCTGTGGCGTAGTAGTAGTAGTCTTCGGCGCTCCACAGAACAACACTGAAGAGCTGGAAGATGTAGAAAGGATTCAGCACCTGGTGGGAAATAAGAGAGAAATAAAAGCTATCTGGAACTTTCATTTCCAGATAGCAGAGCTGATTAAAGCGCGAGCGTCAAAGGAAGAGGCGCGGGTTAAACACTCACCTCCTTGATGAGAAGCTTGAACAGAGAGGGGACTCTCACAGCGATCTCATTCTCCCCGAAAAACAACCTCCTGAAAGAAAGATTTTTTTTCTTTTTCACTTTGTCACCAGTAAATTTGTGTGAATTAAAAAATTTTTTTATCAAATAAATAAATCAAATAAAACTCTAATGCAGAGAGGTACCTGTGGTCCTGCAGTGCTTTGGTCAGCCCACGGCTGTGTTCGCAGTGGATGTGGGCACAGCTCACCTTCACATCCTCCAGGCCTCTAGGGGAGCAAAGACTTTTATCTTGTATTGTTGTGTGGACGTCTCTTCCAGTTATAACAACGTCAGGGGCCTCAGGTATAAACCATGCTCAGATCGACATCAGAGACACACTAAAATTCACTGGCTGTTTTCTTCAAACCAAAACCTGGGTGTGTGCTGTCTGAACCAAACTTTGGATCAAACATTGGAACCCAGTATGTTGGATTAAAGAAGAGACCAAAAGGAGCCTTATTTTTCTTCATAGAGTAGCATTTGAGATGCCACATTTCACCAGCTCTTCCACAGGATGAAAGAAGAAATGGTTATGGTAAATTATTGTTTTATAACAATATTAGTCTCAGTGGGTTGGATTAATGACTTCAGTTCAAGCAGCGTTAATTCACTGGAAGGGGACGTATTGTTTCTAAATGTTTTTGTACTTTCACTTGGTTCTGTATCACTTTTTGAATTGACAACACACTTTAAATTCCTTATAATATAACAAAGGGTTGCATCAACCTGCACTGAGTGGACAGTTACCAGAAAACGATGGCTAAAGTTTGGAATAGCCATGAAGCTGATAGAGAATCTGAACCAGAAACTAAAACACTGAGAGACTGCAGGGAGAAAATCTGACCAGATCATCCTGATGGAGAGGAAACGCTCTCCAGAAACCTCAAGAATACCTTTGTTATCTGAATCTGTTTCCTTGAAACATGGGAATATTTAGCTTTATTTCTCAGCACAATATTTCATATTAAACCTTTAAAACTGCTGAAACAGACCATTTTAGCAGAACTGTAATTGTGGGCTCAACTGTGTGTAAGTTTGTAAAACATGTTGTGTTATCACTATATAAGTAGAGACTTAGTTCATGTTAGTGGTTTATTGTCTCAATATTAGGCAATATCAGTGAAATGACATTGGGGACCACTTACTGATAGAATGCAAAGTTCTGGATGGCGTCATTCCAGTAGTATCTAAAGCTGTGGTGTGTGAAATATTGAATCTAAGGAGGGAAAGGAGACTGAGGTGATCAGGGCCGAATTCTTCGTCATTATGTTCCACAATAATAAAGTCCATTGAAGTAAAAATACATGTAATGTAACGTACCTGAACCTGCTGCTCCTGGGGAAGCTGTTCATCGTGAACAGAGCAGACCTGATGACCGACGTTTCCGTTTGGGAGCTGAATTCTGGGTTTTACATCCAAATCGTCAAAGGGCTTCGTGGCTGGAGCCAGCATCCTGTGGACTCTGACTCGAAACCACTGCCTGAACTCATCCTTCAAAGTTCACCCAAAAGAGACATTCCTCACAGCTGCAATATGTTGTAACTTTAATTTAGAAAAACAAAAAAAAAAGTTTTCTACATTTCTAATAAAACTGTCACCATGTTGTGATATTTAGCTACGAGACAGATAATTTGAAAAGTTTGATCTCCTCCACCTCCATCCTCAATTATTATTGCAATTATTATTATTATGTAGTGATAACACAACTTGTGCTAATTATTTTTATTATTGTAAGAAATGCACCGCACCTGACCTAAACAACCAATCAGAGGCAGGAGGAGGGGCTTAGCCCTGCCAATAAACCTCATGTATGCACCAGTAAATGGGCTAATGGCGGGGAAACAAAACTGTTTATTCATTGGTGGCTATGCTAACAAGGATTCATGATATGCTGTGCTCTGGTGATGAAGAGGAGCAGAAGAGCTCGATTTTTTTCAGATTATCTGTCTCATTTTATTCTCTCATGATATGGTGACAGTTTCAACAAATATGTAAAAAAATATATTTTTATTAATAAATATTACGTACAAGAGCTTTAACATCTGCTGTTCAAATGAATAAACATGCAGAATATACACAAATCAGGTGTTTTCAACTCTTCCCTTGTTTTGATTGAATGAAAACAAGAGCAAACAGATCATAAATAAATGAGCAAAGTTCATTGCTTAATGTTGGTTTTGTTTTGCACCTTGGTTCTGAGCAGCAGGGTGTGAGCATCGCTCAGAGACGTGTGTGTGCAAGTCCCCTTGACGCCCCACTCTGGGAGCCAGTAGAGCAGCAGGAGGAGGAGACCCCCAGAGCAAACCGCACCCACCCCAACCAGGACCATCTTCCACAGACAGGGCCGGTAGCCGCTGACTTCCTGCACACACACACACACACACACACACACACACACACACACACACACACACACACACACACACACACACACACACACACACACACACACACACGCACACACACACGTTTCTGCTGAAGCGCTTCACAGCCAAATGCACCACCATGTTTTTAAAGGAAGGGTTAGACGAACAACCAAAAAATATCAAGTTTGCTGCGATATTTCTTTATATACTAGGGACTAACACAATGGCAGGTGTTGTAATATTATGACCATTTAAATTGGGGATATTTGTTTCATTTTGAAAAGATTTCTATGTGAACGTTTCTCTTCCTGAGATTCAGTTGAATATGGCGTGGAGATTCACGTTGCATTTTTCACAACAACAGAAGAAAAACACCAACCGCCATCTTGGTTGACAAATATTTAAGCAGGAATCCCAGCAGTTCCATATAAAAGACAACCAGACATGTTCACCATATCTGTGCTGGAACGTCATGAAGGAACAGTTTTACAGGTTTGTATCTTCAGATGGGACTGAGCTTTGTAAAATCACAAATCATACAAACTTTATAAGTGACAAAATAAAGGTTATCAATGTTTTCACTGACAGCAAATAATGTGTCTCAATTGAACCTGAACCTCAATCATGTATTCATAATAATACACAGTTGAAATCAGACAATTACATCCATTGAATACAGAAAGATCTGACACAACTTAACTGTAAGAATAATGGAGTTTACATGTGATTGGAGCCAAATATGTTGTCAGAATTTCTAACTTTACTATAACACGAGAATATTGTCTGAACAATAAGTAATGAAACAAAACAACTGTATTTACCATCTCATCCTCCAGACCCTGGTTGATTATTTTCACATCTTCTCTTGTCTTCATTTTGTCAGCCTAACATCTGCAGAAGAAATATAAGTAGGTGAGGACGAATCAATGTAATTCATCAGAGACAAAACTTTAACTCTCTATAATTAACATTAAAACATATTTTTTTTACCAAGAGCAAAACATAGATTTACATTTCATTCAATTCAGTTTATTTGTGTTGAGCCAATTCACAACACAATTACAACTCATCATAAATTTTATTGAAACAAACAGACAGATTCAAAGTCACTTACATACACTTCAAATTGATTCAAGTTATTAAAATATGCAGTGAAGTTCAATTTATATTTTCTCAAATACCAACTCGTGTCTTTGGGTTTGCAGCGATAGCTTCCACTGAACATGCATGTGGCGACAGCAGAAAGGAAAACTCCCCTTTAACACAAAGAAGCCTCTTAAAACCATTGAACCCTTTTTTACTAAATTTAAAATCTCCACCTGGATATTTTTGCTTATTTTACGCAGTTTTTTAAATGTCCTGCAGGTAAATATATTTGCCCATTTATCCATAACAACTAGAATTTTCAAGTTATTTTCTCAATTTACCATCTATTAAAAGAGCACCCCTGAGATTAATTTCACTTCCTGCATTGGTGGGAGTGAAATTACCGTAATAACCTGATATCAGCTAGAAAGGGCAACGCTTCCCCTTACAGAAACCGCTGGAATTTTTCGCAGTGTGACAGAATCACGGTACTACAAGTTTGGCTGGATGTTCACCGCTACATTTAGGACCTAAATAGTCAGAAACTTCAACAACATAACTTGAATAAAGATGAAGATTTAACTATGAGTCGTTGGAAGACATAAACAGAAGGAAGGGATGCAAAAAAACAAACAAAAAACAAAAACAAAGAGTCACTAAGACTTGGCAGCTAAGCAGGAAAATGATTAAGACGTCAAAATCCTCCTACATTCTATGAAGGTACCAGAACAAGAACTGTGTGGCCAAACGGTTCCTGTTCTGTGGAAAAACCTGCAGCTTTACATTTTCTGGATCTCCATGCCGACAACTTCACTTAAACGTTTATTGGCACTGTTGTGCAACTTTCCATGTGCAATGTGACTGCCGTGGTGTTAACCAGCGATCCAGTGGAATATAGGTTGTAATACGTCTGAACCTTGGCACCATGTACACATGTTCACACTCAACAGCTTTACTGGCAATAACATCTGATCCTCAGGCAGCCCGCCTCTTTGAATTACCCAGTTCAGGTCCTTCTCAGCGCCCTGCAGAGTGTTGATGTGTCACGTAAAACTATTCACATTTTGTCACTTCATAACCACAAGCCCACTGTACTTCCATCAGATTTTATGTGGCTGCTGATCTTCAGTATTTTTCACCAATAAACAACTAAAAAGTGTTTTTTGTATGCACCTCAAAAACCACAAAATCTTACCAGGTACTTTTTTTGTCCAGTTTCTTGCACAAATATCTTAGTACAGTTGAAATGAGTTTCATTTCAACTGTACTTTCTAACTTTCTACTTCCAAGTTAGAAAGCAACAGGAGTTTGTTGTGAGTCAATAACTCATTAATAATGATACAAAGTACTAGCTCTCTTGCATGATTATTTCACTTAAAGTTGCGGTATGTAACTTTGATTAAAAAAAATAAAAAAACATTTTTTACATATTAGAAAAAACTCACCATGTCGTGACAATATAAGGACAGGCAACTTTATTAATATAGCCCCTTCCAGTCAGAGACAATTCAAAGTAATTGTAGAAAAAAGTTAAAAACAATAAAGAAAAAAAATCTAACAGATTGAAAATCTAATCTGTTTGATGTTTTCACAGTATAAAACAGATATTCTGTGAAAAGATCAATCTCCTCCACATCCTCCTAGAACTGCTACTGCTTTTCTGAAGAAATGCACCACTCCTGGTCAAAAACAAAGAATCAGAGCCAGGAGGAGGGGCTTAGCGCTGTCAATCAACTCATGTATGCATATGGAGATAGGACTCACTGGTACAGGAAAACCTTTCATCGATGGCCACGCTAACTGGTCTGAGGATTCACAGCAGACTGGAAAAAGAGGAGGGTGGGGGTATGTTGACAAAACTCACTGCAGCGTGGCTGTCACAAACTAAACACTTCAGCTCAGAGGAAAGAATGCAAGAATGCTGAGCTGACATAAACCCATTCACACAGAGCCCGGAGTTCAGCTGCATGGGAACTCAGATTAGAGGTTTACTGCAAATATCAGGAGTTTTCAGCTCATAAATCGGCCTGAAGAGCCAAGGATGTGGACTCCAATGCAGAACGCAGACAATGGAGAAATAAAAGAGTAAATCACAGAGGAATATTTGCTTTATTTGCAGTCAGGTTGTCGATCCCATCAGAAAAGCTCTTGCACAATCAAAACAAGAACATTGCATAGATTTTGTACCATGGATTACAGAAAAATCATTCAAGTTTCAAGTTGCAGATAAAGTTAGAATGTGACCTTTTGTTTTGTTTTTTGCTTCTTCTTTTTTTAACCAATAGCCTCAAACACCTTAAATCCCAGAATTGAAGTGAGGACGTTTCCAGTCGCAGTGGAGACTTACCGACGCCTCCTCTCTTCAGTGTCAGCAGATCAGCTGCTGCATGCCTGTGAGTCCGGATCGAATCGTCGCTGTGGAAAAACTCCACGGGCCCCGCAGGTCTGACAGCGCGCGGCGGCACACGGTGCGTGGAGACAGGACCGTCCCAGTCCACGCCGAACTTTCAGAAGGAAGTGGGGAAAACAGGATGTGAAGTCATCACGGGGGACACCGCGCGCGCGCGCGCGTGTGTGTGTTGGTTTTTGTTTTTTGTGGGGGGTTTTTAGGGGTGAGTTTCTGGAAGTTTAAACAAATCGTTGCACGGCAGCAGCATGTCCATGTGTCCACGCAGCAGGTATTCAATGGACACAATCAAGACTCGGGGAAACTACGGCAAACCGAGTGGACATTTAGTCCAACAACTTCCCCATTATGTGACTGCTTGTGGGAAAACAAGCAGTCACATAAAATCTGAATTCAAAAAATAATACTGGTATCTTGCAAGTACTACCAATGCATAAGAAATGAATAATGCATAAATTGCAATATTTCTTGCACTGTCAGAAAATGAAGTGATATATTCCAATTTTGATGATTATCGCGTCCAAATAATGAAAACCTCAAATTTAGTGTGTCCGAATATTTGAATAATGTCAAAAAGGTTGTTAACAGAAACTCCTGCTGTCACATCCCAAAACAACTTTAACTGAAAACACCGAAGCCAGAGGTTTCCTAAACCTTTGGACGCCTCTTTCACTCTGGGTCGGTCAGTCAGACACAATCATAGAGAAGACTCCTGACTTGACTGATGTCCAGAAGACAGTCATTGACACCCTTCACAAGAAGGGTAAGCCACAAAAGGTCATTGCTGAAGGAGGGGTTGCTCATAAAGTGCAACCATTTGAACAGAAAACGGGGTGGAAGTTATAAAGTGGGGAAAGGTGCACCAAAAATAGGGGGTACCGCAGCTTTGAACAGACTGTCAAGAAAAATCCACTAAATAGGAGCCACCAGCAAGACATGTGAATACCAGACGCAAAAGTTCCTTTCCCACGTAAAGCCACTACAGAACCACAGACTATATGAAATCCTATATGAAAGTAAATTCCACAATTCATTTAGAGGTCACGCTCCCACAGTGTGGAGGAAGAGTGGAGAGACACAGAATGTCCAGTGTGACGTTTCTAAAGTCAGTGAAAGTTTGGGATGCCATGTCATTGCTGATGTTGGTCCTCTGGGTTTTCTGAAGTCTAATATCAACAGAGACATCTGTCAAACTGCTAAAAATCTCAAAAGCTGCTTCAGTCACTGTCATGTACCTGTTCTTGATTGTCCAGAAAAACCTTCTTACCCCAGAGAAAATCTATGGGCTGTTATCGAAAGAAAGAAGAGAGAAGCCAGACCCAACAAGGCAGATGACCTGAGGCAGTCTGGGTCGATGCAGGAATTCCTGCACCAGGAGGTCCAATCATGTATTGACATTTTGTCTCATGCTTCAGAGTTTGCACCTTGTTTCTCCAAGTGTCCTCCACTTAAAGGTGGACATATAAAAAAGTTGTCATAAATGAAGCATTTGGAAAGAGAAAAGTAACCAAGACCTCCAACTAGGTCAGAGTGTCGCAGTGAAAGGTGACAGAGTCGAGTTCTTGTGGTCTGCATCAAGGCGCATCTTGAATTTTCTGAAAGCTGCTCAGTGGTGAAACTTTGCCTCATTTTGAAAGAACCCATCAATAGAATGTTAAGAAAGAAACTTACAAAAATGTCATGACAGCAGTATTTCCTGTTGGCCTCGATAAGATACTTTTAGAAAAAAATGAAATGAATTTTCAGTGGAGCAAAGTCTTTTAAGACGTGTGCTCTTGCTCAAGCTCAGAGGTGAAGTTGGCACCAGCTGTATGGGAAAGTTCACAGGGATCTCCTGAAAGGCCCTGGCAACTGGGTCTGTCACAGCAGATGAAACAAATCTCCTTCTGTCGCTTAAAAAAAGATCCAGTGTCTGCCAGCTGGTTGAGCAAACTGGCAGGATAATGGCAGAAAACTACCTTATAGATATATTAGAGGCAAATAATAATTAAGGCAAAGTTAAATTGATTGTTCTTCTGACCTGTGCATTTCACCTAGCACAGTTTTATATCAATTTAAGCAAAAAGAAACAAGGAAAAAAAAGATGGAATGGTCAAATTGGGATATATCCAAATATGAGTGTCAAACATTTGACTTATATTTGGGTCATTTACATAGAATGGGGACAGATTTTCAGGTACTAACCACAACAAATCTAATTACCTTCCATCAGGGGCACCGTAAAGAGGGGAAAAGTCAGGACAATTCCAGAATCAAGGAAGAGATTCATCTTTTCACAGATCACCTGTCCAAAACCAAACTGTCTTGACAACTGAGCCTTTTTTTAAATTTGTTTTCTTTTTTTTTTTTGGTGGGCATATTTCATGTTTTGCGACTTCTGTGGTCAAAACAGTTCAAGTGTTGTGATTTTCATGTTGGAAAAATGTAGAGTTCTTGGCACAAGGTGAAGACACTGGAAAATAGTCTTGAAAATGTGGCTTGGTTCAACAAGCCACATTTATTGAGAAACAAATGCCAGCGAGTTATCAGTAAATATGCTATTTCAAATCTGATGCTGGAATATTTTTTTCAATTAATTTACCTTACTTTTGAGTAGAGCACATTCTTTATATACTTCTTTTAATAACGCCATAGTACTTGCATTTAATTTTTGCCTTTACTTTGCAGCATTTTACTGTTTTTACATATTATATCTTCTGTCTTTATGTGAACCTATCTGCTTTAATTCTGTTACATTGTTAGTTTCTCCATTTTTGAACAGCAAAACAATTTCTATTCTGCTCTATTTTCTTTTACAGCGTTGGTGCTGGACTCGCTCTCAGTAGAGGATCTAATTAAGACATAGTTTCATGACCTTTGCTCTTTAACGAGCATATTTAAGAACTGATCACTTTTATGAAACCTTCTCTGAAATTTTTCTGAATTTTTATAATTCTGGTTTGTTGTTAGTTCCAGTTCTGGATGATCTGATGAATGATCTAAAGGAGAGACATGATCAGACATGTCTAGTGTGGTTTGTGTTCATAGTTTGCTGCAATGTGACATTGATGAAAGCAGGGAAAGATGGAATAAAATACCATCAGGCCTAAAACTGTCTCACGGTGCATCTGGTGAACCGGATGTCATGCACCACCTTCCTAAAAACCTGTTTTTGTACTTGTTGTTTTTCTCTTTTATTTAACATCTGCTTAATTTGTTGCCTGTTTGGCAGTTTTCAAAAATAATTGGTCAAAACAAATAAAAAGAATCAATCACGCGTTAGTATGTCACTTTTTATTGTAACAATTTCATAAATACAATCAAGCATTACAACAATTAAGCATGACAACATTTTCCAACAATAATTATATTGTTGGAAAATTCAGATTCTGCAGATCAACAATGTTTCTGGTCATCAGGTGGAGCAGGTCTTCTGCTTTAATTGTTGGTCAACTCATGTCATGTGACATGAGTTGACAGAGAAAAGAAACAAAGAGAAAAGACAACAGAGTTAGAGGACAACATGCATGGACAGCAGACATAACCAGTTTCTAACTTTAAGCTCAACTCTATGCAGCTTGATCTGAAATGTTTCCTCATGTTGAGTAGATATAAATGTTCTTACTTTTTTTCAACTGGGTTCTCTTATCTTCCTCCACCTGACTGGTGGTGTTGAAGGTGGAGGATTGCAGGTTGATGATGATCCACTTCACATGATCTCAGTCTCTTTATTCTGTGTCTCGTCCTCAGCTGTCCCCCTGATGCATCAGGAAACTTCTCTGGATTTCCAGCAGGATTTTCTGTGTTTCTCTCTCTGCTGATTGGTCCAGTGCTGTTGCTAGAGAACCAACACATGATGAGACACACATTCCTTCATTTCAGTCTAAATACCAGATGATAGAAGGAGACTTTCTGATCAAGTCATCATCATGTCCTCACCTTTCTCACAATCTCTTACAACCAGTAGAGCAGCAGGTGGAGCAGGTCTTCTGCTTTAATTGTTGGTCAACTCAAGTCATGTGACATGAGTTGACGGAGAAATGAAACAAAGAGAAAAGACAACAGAGTTAAAGAGAAAATATAGAACTAGATTATAAATCTCAGCTCAACTCTATGCAACTTTATCTGAAATGTTTAGTTAAGTTGTGTAGATATAAATGTTCTTACTTTTTTCGTCAACTTGGTTCTCTTATCTTCCTCCACCTGACCGGTGGTGTTGAAGGTGGAGGATTGCAGGTTCAGGAGATCCAACCTGGAATGATCAGAAACATTATTGATCTGCAGAATCTGAATTTGGAACCAGAAACCGGCTCTGGGTTTTCTATCATGTTTCTCAAATTCTTTGATATTTAACCCACGTACAGGTGAACTTTAACATGAGATGCTAGAGAATCAACGCATTCAGTCTAAATACCAGATGATAGAAGGAGACTTTCTGATCAAGTCAACATCATGTCCTCACCTTTCCCACAATCTCTTACAACCAGTAGAGCAGCAGGTGGAGCAGGTCTTCTGCTTTAATTGTTGGTCAACTCAGGTCATGTGACATGAGTTGACGGAGAAAAGAAACAAAGAGAAAAGACAACAGAGTTAGAGGACAATATGCATGGACAGCAGACATAACCAGTTTCTAACTTTAAGCTCAACTCTATGCAGCTTGATCTGAAATGTTTCCTCATGTTGAGTAGATATAAATGTTCTTACTTTTTTCGTCAACTGGGTTCTCTTATCTTCCTCCACCTGACTGGTGGTGTTGAAGGTGGAGGATTGCAGGTTCAGGAGATCCAACCTGAGATGATCAGAACATCAGACATCTGAGAAGTCTGGACCTGTGATCAGAGACTAGTGTCTGTATTTTAAATGTCTATTCTCTTTTTGTGATCTTTCTGTGTTGCAACATGTAAATATGGCTATATAAACTTTGTTTTATGAGATTAATATTTTATCTTTACTCCACATACTCCCCTATTCTCTACTTTCCTACTGAATAAAAGTTTTTCATTAAATCCCTAAATAATAAATGTTGTCTGTTCTCCTCTGTCTTCCTATTTCTTATTGGCTTGATGCTTTAATTTCATCTCTAATACAAAATATTATCAGGCAAACTTTCA